TTCCCAGGGATGGCAAAGGCAAGGGCTGAGCAAAATCTGAGTGACAGAAACCAAAATATATGAATCCTGTGAGGAAGGATACATTATTGGTGTGTGGATCAGGAAGGGAAGGCACCTGAGGCAAAGCACCAGAAGAACATGAACTGGCTGCAACGACAGCGATGTGGTCCCATCTGGTTTTGGTACGCCTGTCTCTAGAGCACAGGAGACCAAGGTTTGCTCTTAACTGCATTTTGATTAATGTGTACGTTATCAGGACAAAAAGAAAGTGGCACAAAGAGGACCATAATATGCCTTAGGCTGGATTTCTTCTGGATAGGCTCAGCCCACTGGTCAGGCCTGGGACATGGCATGCAGGGAGATGTGGTCCCATCTGGTTTTGGTACGCCTGTCTCTAGAGCACAGGAGACCAAGGTTTGCTCTTAACTGCATTTTGATTAATGTGTACGTTATCAGGACAAAAAGAAAGTGGCACAAAGAGGACCATAATATGCCTTAGGCTGGATTTCTTCTGGATAGGCTCAGCCCACTGGTCAGGCCTGGGACATGGCATGCAGGGACCAGTGATATGAGAGAAAACCCTGCCACTGACATGAGGAAGCAAATGCTGGAGGGGACGAGAAATGGAGCAAGGTGCGAAAGGCTGCTTCTATCAGGAAAGAAAAAAAAAATGTAGCACAAGTGAGAATAGGACTGGTACAAGCTTTGGCAAGTCACTTATAGGCAGAGGAAAGAAAGCTACCAGGAAATGTGAAGAACAAGTGGCTAGGAGATAAAGAAATAAAGTTGTATCAGCCTGCAAAGCTGAACCTATTGTATCAATCAAAAAGCAAAGGGAGCAGGTGGTTGTTGGCTGCAGCACAAATACATCTCTGCCTGTGTAACTGGCCTGGGACACTCACAGTCACAAAATGCAGAGTCAACTTCTGTCCACGCAGCAACCACTTCGCCCACCTCAGCTCAGCCACATGTCCCAGCACTCATGCACTGCTCTCCTTGCTCTGCCCAGCCAGGCTGGTCCCAGCACACTCCAGGAGCCTCCAGGCATCCACCCCACCCTGTCCCCATGTCAGGAGGCAGAGGGAGGAGGGACCAGCAATGTCAGGAGAGAGAAACAGGCTAATGGAGTGGATCCAAATCCTCACTGAGCCGCTTCCACCAACCACTACAGCCAGTCACAAGGCAAGATTCAATGAGTAGTTGGTAAGAGCGTTCCACGAAGGACCATCAGTCACATCTGTCTGCACAAACCCCTGGAAGCTCTGACAGCACCGACTGCCAGAGCAAGGATGTGCATTAACCAAGGGGTAACATGCACTTGGCCTGCTCTTTCCAAAGCATCCACTTTTAGCTGCTGAGGGACCAGGTAACAGGCGATGCAGACTTTCGGTCCAGGCAGTATGGCTGTGCTAAGTGGAGGCACACACACATCATCAAGCCAGCTGCCACAGTTGCCCAACACTTGCCATCCCAGGGTGACAAATCTATGTCAATACCAGGCTGAAAACTGGTCCAACCCCCCTGCTCAAGCAGGGTCAGCTGGAGCAGGTTGAACAGGGTTAATAATGACAAGCAGAGAAGTTAAGGATTTCTTGGCTCTGGCACATCTCATATATATCTCTTGGTGTATTTGTTAATGTGAAGGACAAGGAGATGAGCAGCAGAAGGGAAGGAAAGCAAATCACACAGGTTAATCAAGGGCAGAGAGGCTAATGCAAGCTCCACAGCTCTCAGCACAGATGCTGTACAAGCTGCACTGACATGACAGACAAGGGGATTTGCATCAGAGAGCACCTACAAGCTGCAATATGCTGTGAGCTGTCATATGCTCTAATCTGCCACCAAACGGGCCCAGGTGTCAGCATGAGATGTCCCTTGGCAGAGTTTGCTCAGCAGACAGCAGTGGTGACCAATGTAACTTGAAAAAGAGCATGGAAAGCAACTGCAGCAAGGCCACAACCATAAAGAAGCAGCAAGCAGGAATAAAGTCCTCTGCTCCGGTCATCTGTCAGGAGGAGAGACAAGAAAGGGGAGAGCAGGCCAGTGCTCAGCAGTGCTGGTATGTGGGGGGGGGGGGAGAAGCTGGGCCCAGGGGACGTGATCTGCACAAGGACATGAAAACCTGAAAAGGAGAAGACAGGAAAGCTAGGAGAGATGAGTAACTTCTGAAGGGAAATGATACTACCTGATGAAATGGACTCCTGCCCACTTGGTGGCAGAAGAGAAAAAGAAAACACTTGGTAATGATACTTGACCTCAGAAAAGACTGCACATCAACTCATTGAGATTGCAAGGACCTAAACTCATCCGAAGTACTCATTCTTCCATAGTGATCTCTAAACCACACAGCTGCAATTCCACATCTGCAGTGGTTGCCTTGCACGCTGTCAGGAGATGCCCACTTGGCAGCGCTCTGAAGCTGCACACTACCTCCCTCCCCTTCCTTTAAGGCCTACACACAGCAAAGCTGCTTCCCTACTCCAGAAACCAGGCACCATCCTACCCCAGGCTGCACTCCTGACAGAAAAATGCAGAGTTACTTTGGGGACTGCGCCTAAATCCCTCCCATCTTCCTCAGAGTCTACCCCTCTCCAGCAGGAAAGCACCAGGCCAGTGAGGTGGGACAGCAAAGGGGAGATGGCCCCAGAGGCTCTTCCCAGGACACACTGCCACAGGGCTTAGCTGCGTGGAGTTAAATTCAGTTACTATTTGGGACAGCTGCCCATACTGCAGCGCTGGCCATTTCCCAGCCGCTGCCACTAAGACACCGTGCTATGGCACTAGGGAAGAAGCCGTCCAAAGCAGCGCACCCCCTCACCAGCAATCCCATGGATGTCCATCCTCAGCTGAACAGTTTGGACTCAAGTGAAAATAATTAACAAACAAATAAATCAGTAGCTAAAGTATAGGAGCACCCTCTTGAAGTCTCCCTCCTGCAACTACCACATGTGAATCGCTACGGTACAGACGGATTTGGGGCCTTGACCCACCCTTTCACAAGCTTCAGGTTGGGAACTGACTTGAGCCCAGCACTGGATGCCTAAATCCATTCCGGACTTGGGGGACCTGATTTTAATTTGTTGTCTTCTGTCACAACATGCAGCTGACAGCACCCAGGTGCTGGGCTAGACAGTCCAGGTCTTCAGCTAGACCAAATTCAGGGACACTGCAATTTATGAAATGAGGGTAGAGAAATCTGTTCTCCTGACTGTGGGACTATCTGGCCACTGAGCATCTCTCTGCGCTCCTGAGTCTGGTGCAGCTCCCTGGGGACAACTGGCTAAAGATTTCAGAAAACATCGTGTTTTCTCTGGTCCACCTTTTCCCTCTACCTCCCTGACCTGGCAGCTTACTATGCCTTGAAATAGCCTCTGTATCAGTGTGGCATCAGGCACAGGTTGGAGTGAAGGATCTGGCTCAGAACCTAATGTGCTCCAAAAACCTACCCTGGGTCCAAGGACTGCACTGCCAAAGCCCACATCACACCTGCATCAGTGTAAATGAAATCTAAAACTGTTCAAACCAAAGCACCAGGAGGCACCTGGGAGAACATGAACCTGCACATTAAGATGAGCTGAGAACAAGGTGGGAAGGGGGAAAGTGAGGGGCTTTCCCTTCATCCCAAGTCCCAAATAGTTTCACCTTCTTTTCTGGTTAACCTAGAGGTAAGAAGTCATACTCTGATCGTGCCAAAAAAGCCAAGGCACATATTTCTATTTAATACTTTGGACTTCTGCCCGAGGCCATTACCCTGGAAGACATTGACATGCCTGCCTATTGCTCCAGTGTATTTCTACCATGTTCGCATGGTAGGGCAGAAATAACTTTGAACTTCAGGAGCTGAGTTTGACCTTTAAGTTGCAGTTTTTCAATAGCCACCTCTTGGTGGATGGGGTGAATATCGTTGGTGCCTTGACAATTCGTAATTCCTTTCTGGATATTCCCTTGCAGTGTTTGTTATTTCTAAGGCACACGAACCAGCTCACCTCTTTATTCCTTCACTTTCTAACACAGTGCTTTAGCTGGGATTCTTATTAGAATTTTTTCTTTTCATAACTGATTATTAACAGTCTCTTTTCCTCAATGCCAGGCAATCTTTCAATGTCTCTATACAAGCTGAGAAATGTTGTGTCTTCAGTAAAACCTAGCTTTCTGGTGTCCTACGGCTGAACCACACAATTCCTGCATTGTGTCAGCTATGATTTTTCACATAACGAAGCCAACAGCAAAGCAAAGCAGCAAGCAAAAAGAGAATGTGCGGTCTTACATCTGACACTGGGATCTGCACGACGCCAGCTGCTCGAGTTTACATTCACCGGAGCTGCGCCTTCTGCACTGATGCTATTCATCATTTCGAGCCACGACATCAAGATGCTCCAGCGTGAATTAGGAGACAGAGAAAGCTTTCTTAAAGCTTCAGTTCAGCGATGAGCAGCTCGTGTCATTCAATGCTCTCTTCAGCAACTATCCTTACAGCAAAAATCTGGTCAACACGTGATTTCACGGGTCAAAATTCAGTTTGTATTTCCTCAGCTTTGCCTCTGCACTGCCCTTGTTCTGGTTAAAATGCTTTAACACAAGACTTGACCTCTTGCTGAACGTATGTAAACCCTCCTAATTATTGCAGTCACTTTAGCATCCTTGCTTGGGCCCTGTTCTTGTTGTGGTCTCAGTCAGCCTCAGGTCAAGCTGTAATTTTATCAGCAGCCTCATCCCCAAAAAGCTGACAACAGTACAGCTTCCTTTGCTCACCTTGGTTTTGCTGCACCTTTTCCATCAGTGACGAGTGTTTCTGTGCTTTGTCCCCCAGTTACGTCCTTATGGTCAACAGTCTGT